TCCTTTGGACATGCATCGTTGAGGTTAGTGTAATCAATGCACATTCGCCATGTACCGTTTGCTTTTTTCACCAACACCGGATTGGCGACCCACTCGCAGTAATCGACCCTTCTGACAAAACCAGCTTGTAGGAGTTTCTCAATTTCTTCTTTAATGACCTGTAACCTCTCCCCCCCGAAGAGGCATCGTTTCTGGGTTACTGGTTTCTTGAGGGGATTGGTGCTGAGTTTATGTTGAAAAACTGAAGTGGGAATTCTCGGCATGTCTGCTGAAGTCCATGCAAAAACATCTTTATTGGCCCGAAGAAAAGCTATGAGCTCTGCTCTTTCCTCCGGGTTCAATTTAGTCCCAATTTGCGTTTTCCGGCTCGGATCTTTGTCATCAATCTGTACCTCTTCCACATCTTCGACTAGAGCAGCTCTGGTTTCATCTTCTGGTCGGTTATCTACTATCTCAACACCCATAACTTGCCGATCATCAGGAATCCGTTTGGGATCAACCTCGGGTATCTGAGTCTTGCCCTTCTGAGGTTGTGTTACTGAGGTGATATAGCAATGCCGGGCCACCTCCTGGTTGCCTCGCAGCGTTGCTATTCCCGTAGGAGTTGGGAATTTCATGCATAGATGAGATTGGGAAACCACAGCTTGGATTTCAGTTAGTGTGGGTTGACCAATGACGACATTGAATGAGGACACCATCTTGACTACCAGAAACCTGACTGAAGGGGTCACATAACTTCGGCCACTGCCAAATGCAACATTCATAGTGAGGATTCCTTCAACTGGAACTGGTTGGTTGTTAAACCCGTAAATGGGACCATCATACCGTTGCAACAGAGCGGGATCTAACCCAAGACTCTCAAAACAATGGAAGTACATGATGTCTGGTGCACTTCCTGTGTCAACAAGGACACGCTGCACTTCACAATTGTTGATCGTGATAGAAGTGACTAGAGGATCATTGTGATGTGTGACAATTGTTTCGAGATCAACAGATGTGAAAGTGATGGGTTGATTCTTCCACTTAGCATCGTCAAATTTTCGCTTCTGAGTTCGGTTCTGATGCTTAACCTCTCTGACATACAGCTTTCGCTGCTTAGAGCTCAATCCACCAGCTTCCAGACCTCCCGTAATCATGTGTATGACTCTAGCTGGTGGTGGTAGTTGGGGTGGGGCTTGCTGATATCCCACACCTTGTCTGTTTGGGGGATTGCGGATTGCTTGATGCTGTGGCCCTTGTTCTCTGACAAACCTTGGTTGTTCCGCTCTCTGGATGTACTCATTCAACATTCCTTTCTGTGCCAAACTTTCCAATTCGGACCTCAGGCTATTACATTGCTCTGTTGTATGACCATGATCCTGATAAAAATCACAGTACCTAGTATGGTCTCTGGTAGCAGCAGCAGCTCTCATTGGACCCAGACGTCTTAAGTCCATCTTATTCTTAACCTGCATAAAGATTTGTGACCTCGATAAATTAAAAGGAGTCCAATTAACTGGAGGTTTGCCTGCAGGTTGTTGCGGAGGTGCGGAGTTCGGCCTTCCGAGTCTCAAGGTGGAAGTCGACATCGGACCTCGGTTCTGTGGTGTCTTCATCCGTTTCCTGTTCGGATTCTCATCTCTCCAGTCTGGGTGTTGATTCTTAACAGGGGTGATGTTCTGCGACAGGGCATATTCCTCAGCAGTTATGAATTTCAATGATCTATCATTTACCTCACTGAAGGTGGTGGCAGGATGTTTAAGTAGACTATCTCTGAATCTTTCATGGCCGAGACCCGAGATCACAGCTGTAATTCTCACTGCTTGGTCGAAAGAGTTAACCTCTAGCACTGCATCATTGAATCTGCTTATAAAATTCTTCAAAGACTCTCCGTCCCTCTGCTTAACTCGCATCAGCTCGGAAGTGGTTTTCCTGATCAACCTTCTACTGGAAAACTTTGTGGCAAAAGCAGATGCCAGTTCTGTGTACGAGTTGATTGACCGCGGAGGCAGACTGTAGTACCAGGTTCGAGCATTACCTCGGAGAGTAGAGGGAAAGATTTTGCACATCAACGCATCAGAGGCGTTCTGGGCTTGCATGCAATAGTAGAAAGCATGTAGAAGATCATCGGGGTCCTTCGTCCCATCATAAGTTTCAAGCTGGGGTATTCGGAAGCCAGCGGGATAGGGTTCCAGTATAATATTGGTGTTGAGAGGGTGAGGTACGGAGTCAGCAGCAGGGTGTGGAGGTGGGACACCTCGCTGTTCGACCATTAGCTTTTCTAAGCTATCTAAACGTCGAGTGACATCATCATGAGGGGGTTGCATAACTGGTGCGATGTGAGATTGGCCCTGAGATTCACTAACAGCGGGAGCATGTTGAACTGGGTCAGGATTTTGTGGTGGGGCTGGAGGCTGTGGAGCAGGATTAAGTAGGTTGATGAGTGGATCACCAGGATTGTTCCGGGCTAATAACTGAGCCAGCACTAGCTGAAAAACACCAAATTGCTGTTGCATGGCAGCGAGCTGAGTTGCAACTACGTCTTGGTTAGCAGTAGAGGCTGAGTTGTTAATCGAATTGTGTGGTTGATTTTCATCCCATCCTTTGGTATGGTGAACATGAGGGGATGTATTCGGGATTGGGGGTGGGGGGTGAGGTGGAAGGTTGCTGGGGGCCTGACCTCGTCCAAGAGGCTGAGACGAGTTTCCCCCTCGGGCTGACCTAGTTTTAACCATGATAAGAGCAACAAGGGAGCCTTTAGTTCAGTTTCCCACAGACGGCGCCAAAATGTAACTGCACCAAACCAGTCGTTCTTCTTCACTCCGTATCTGCACTCTGGGTTGACCTGCAAAGCCCCGAGATGGATCTCGGGGTAGACACTCCGATGCTTAAGTCAGCAATAATCGGGGCTACCAATAGAGCGAAGATTAGAAGAGCTTAGGGTTGGTTTCAATCACCTTTTTGACGTGACCCTTGAGCGGTATTTATATGTTCCAATGAAGAACCCACGCAGCATGCTAAGCAAGACATTCGGGATTTGGTGTGTATCTCCGGGCAGTTATTTCGGGATCAAGAAATTAAGCCTAGCAAGATATTCGGGATTTGATATGTATCTTTAGGCAGTTATTTCGGGATCGGGAAATTAAGCCCAGCAAGGTATTCGGGATCTGTTGTGAGGATGTCCATCGTAACTGTTGTGCAGTCGTCGGAGCAGGGAGTTCTGGATGTAACTCTTCATTCCGGTTGTAAAGGAATTACTGTCGTACGTCCGAGGTGCGGCACCTCGGACCTGCCCTTACAAGAATATTTTCCGAACGCACTGTACACTTT